CCCCAGCTTCGCCTCCGCCAACGCCGCCACACGCGGCAAACCTCAGAAGCCGGCCGCATCAGGTGGCAAACCACCGGCTTCCTCGTCGCAGGCCTCGCGGGGCAACGCGCCGACCATCACTGGAGGGAGTCGCCCAGTTGCTTGTTGTTCTAGTTGCGGTGCTCCTCAGGCTTGTCAGCTTTGTAGCATCGATCGTCACCTCGCCTCTCGCTGCCACAAACGCTACAAGCAAGACTTCCTTGGCCTTGGTAACAATGGAAAAGGGAATGATAAGCAGGCTGCAGCTGCTGTGACGGGGCACGAGCACGGGCGCACCCAGTCCTACTCTCTTGATCCAACGTGGTATATGGATACAGGAGCGACGAATCATCTCACCAACGAGATGGGTAGGCTCTCCACTCAGGAACCATATCGTGGACATGATCAGGTGCACACCGCCAACGGAGCAGGTATGCTCATCTCCCATGTTGGTCAGGCATCACTTCTTGCACACAATTTTCGCAAACTGCATCTTTCCAATGTCCTTCGAGTTCCCTCTGCTACGCGTAGTTTATTGTCTATTCCTCAACTTACTCGTGATAACAATGTCCTTGCTGAGTTTCACCCTTTTCGTTTCTTTATCAAGGATCGGGACACGAGGGCCGTTCTGCTTAGTGGTCGTCTTCGCCATGGCTTATATGCACTTGACGCACCACCTGCATCTCCTAAGCCGTCTTCTCCTCAGGTGTTCAGTGGTGTTCGTGTGTCGCCTATGCACTGGCATGCGCGCCTTGGTCACCCTGCTGCTCCTATAGTTAGTCATGTGCTGCATCGCCATGAACTACCAGTTGTATCCAATAAAAATGCTGAAACTATCTGTGATGCCTGTCAGCAGGGCAAGAGTCACCAACTACCTTTTTCAGAGTCTAGTCGTGTTGTGAAACATCCTCTTGAGCTTGTGTTTTCTGATGTATGGGGTCATGCCCAAACGTCTGTTAGTGGTCACAACTATTATGTCAGTTTCATTGATGCTTACAGTCGGTTTACTTGGCTATATCTTATCAAGCGTAAATCTGATGTGTTTGATGTTTTTATTCAGTTCCAAGCACATGTTGAGCGTCTCCTTAAGCACAAAATTATTCATGTTCAATCCGATTGGAGGGGGGGGGGGTGAATATCACAACCTCAACTTGTTTTTCAACAAGCTTGGGATCTCGCATCGCGTATCTTGTCCTCATACACATCAGCAAAACGGCACCGCTGAACGTAAGCATCGTCATCTTGTAGAGATTGGACTTACTTTACTAGCTCATGCCTCCGTCCCGTTTCGGTTCTGGAGTGATGCTTTTTCCATCGTCTGTTTCTTGATAAATACGCTTCCCTCACGACTACTGAAAATGAAAACCCCTCTTGAACTCTAGCTCAATGATATCCCAGACTACACGTTTCTCAAAGTGTTTGGGTGCGCGTGTTGGCCGCACTTGCGGCCGTACAACAAGCGTAAGTTAGAGTTTCGGTCTAAGAAGTGTGTCTTTCTTGGGTATAGTTCTCTCCATAAAGGGTACAAGTGTCTTCATGTTCCCACCAATCGTGTCTACATTTCTTGTGACGTTGTGTTTGATGAGAATGTGTTCCCGTTTCGTGCTCTTCCGAACCACTCTACCATTAGTTTACCACCTGTGCACTCCGCTACACCTTCGCCTGATCAATTTGTGGATGTTGCAAATGCTCCTATGTTGCTTCCTAACCATGCTGCAGGTATTGGACGTGATGCCCGTCTTGAACTCCTGGATGACGAGGCTATGAACAACACTCACGATGGTCATGATGATTCGGTGCATGGCCCATGCATGGCGGGTCGTGCCCGCCAGCCCGATGCATCCACAGCCGACCCGCGGGCGTCAGCAGCGCCCGCCTCGCCCGCACCGCCGCCAGGCTCTCCCACCACGTCGCCCGGCTCGCCTGGCTTGCCCGCCACGCCGCAGGCATCGCACTTGCCTGGCCCAGCGGCAGGTGGCCCAACAACCGCTGGCCCAGCGGCCACGGCAGCTACATCGGCCAGCCCCGCCTCGGCCACCTCGGATCCTCGCGAGCTGGCCTTGTCGTCGGCTGGGCTCGGCAGCCCCGTCTCGGCCACGTCGTCCGGCGCTGGGTCTGATGACTCTGGCTCCTCCAGCCCCGGATTGGTCTCACCTTCGTCTCCTGTGGCAAGCCCCGTGTTGCCGGCGCCGCCTGCTGTGGTCTCTCATCAACCAAACACACACACAGCCGGTCTGGTGTTTTTTGCCCCAAGGAACGCACAGACGGGACTGTGGCGTGGCTTGCCGCATGTGTTGCTCATGCTGCTATGGATCCGACGGCTGAGCCGCGTCATTTTCAGGCCGCATTGGGTATCCCTCACTGGCGTGCTGCGATGGAGCAGGAATTTTAGGCTTTGCTGAAAAATGGCACTTGGCAAATTGTTCCTCTGGTTTCTAGTCTCAACATCATTGACTCCAAGTGGGTGTTTAAAGTAAAACGACATGCAGATGGTTAGATTGAGCGCTATAAGGCACAGCTGGTTGCCAAGGGTTTCAAGCAGAGATATGGTCTTGATTATGAAGACACGCTCAATCCAGTTATCAAGCCTACTACTATTCGTATACTGCTGTCTCTTGCTGTTACTCGTGGTTGGTCTCTTCGTCAGCTTGGCGTACAAAATGCCTTCCTCCATGGAGTTCTTGAGGAAGAGGTTTATATGCGTCAACCACCAGGCTTTGTTGATCCTACACATCCGCATCATCTCTGTCGTCTGGTCAAGGCGTTGTATGGACTTAAACAAGCGCCTCGTGCGTGGCATGCACGCCTTGGTTCTGTTCTCTGGGCTCTTGGGTCTATTCCCTCCACTGCTGACACATCACTGTTCCTCCTTCAGCGTCCTGAGGTGACGATGTATCTATTGGTTTATGTTGATGATATCATCCTTGTCAGTTCTTCTGATGCTGCTGCTGATCGCCTTGTGTCCGCATTGAGTGAGGAGTTTGCTGTCAAGGACTTGGGTGCTCTTCATTACTTCCTTGGTTTGGAGGTATCACGGTCCTCTACTGGGTTGACTCTGACTCAGAAAAAGTATTCTATGGATTTGTTGCGCCGTGCTAGGATGCTCAAATGCAAACATGCTATCACTCCGATGTCTGTGACTGATCGGTTGTCTGCCCTTGATGGAGATCTTCTTTCTGCTGATGACGCCACTGAGTATCGCAGTCTTGTTGGTGGTCTGCAATATCTCACTATCACCAGGCCTGATGTCTCTTATGCAGTCAACCGTGTGTGCTAGTACCTTCATGCACCTCGTACCACTCATCTCTCGGCAGTTAAGCGCATCTTGCGATATGTCTCTTCCACTGCTTCGTATGGTCTGCTTCTTCAGTCTGCATCGTCTTGTGAACTTT